GCTGTGTCCATGCAGAACTTGTGTTTACATTTATTTGGTTTGTCTTTGTCCACAGACATCAGAAGATGTAAAGAGGACCCACCAATGCAGCCAGACCTAAAACAGTTTCCCAGGACCCTGATGGGGGACAGGAAAAGGAGCTTCAAAGCAGGCTGGTACCATATCCACCCCTGGCTTGAATATTCTCAACAGATGGACTCGGCGTATTGTTACGCTTGCAGACATTTTCGCCCTCCTAATACTGTTTTTTTTTTCTCATCACTGAAATGTTATGACTACAATGCTTTCAAAGTTTGATGAAATAAAAAGTCAAATCAGATTTCGAATCTGTCTTTTTAGCCCTGGGTTGAATGTGCCCCTCCATCAAAACCCCTGGCCCCAGCCCGGCCCCCTCAGTGAAATTGATCTAGAACCGCCACTGCTGCTTGCGGCAAGATACTCCTTGCTTCATTTAGGGGAGGAGCTGAAAATGATGACGTTCGAAGTCTCGCTGGCTGTTGCACCACATGACCACTCGGCGAAATGCTTCATGTTCCAGCACTATATTTGACAGGTTTGCCCCTCAGTGCTTCATGCATTGGGTGGATAAACTACAGCTGCATGTAATCATACACATGGCCAGCGGGTGGTGCACATGAAGCATCAAGAAATAAACCCTTACTGGATCCAAATGGCTAAAATGGAGCAAAGCTTCCTGGGGCTTCATCTCGTCATCACTGCAAAAAAAAAAAAAAAAAAAATATATATATATATATATATATATATATATATACAAAAAACACAAGACCGACAAAGTAAAACAAAAGACCCTGGTAAGGAGTAAAAAGTGAGACAAATCAAAAACGCGTACAAAAGGCAAGGATAAAAAACAACTTAAAAACTGTAGCTTGTTACAAAAAGACAAGTACAATCAATGCACGAGAATACTTAATCAAGGTATAACAACAACGAAATACTTAACCCAAAACCGTGGTGAGAAGCTATGAGGCAAGAAACCATGAATGTCTTGGAAATGTCTTCAGGCACTCTGAGACGAGAGTCGTGAGCAAGGTTGAAATAATCCAACAGCCAGTTATTACTGTCGCATGGCTTTTAAAGGCAGCAGGATAACAAGGCTGAAAAACTTCGGGTGCGGCTCATGAGGGAACGCCAACCACACCTGCAGGAGACTGAAAAAAAACAAACGGGAATATTATGACAACTACATTACCAATCTCCATCTTTTCCGCAATAGACTTGCAGCATTACTTAGACTTGTACTCATCAATTTCCCTTATGTCATTTTTCAATTAAAAAAATCAAACAGATGAACGGGCTTCCTTCCTACTCCTATCTTAGTCCATGTAAAGGACTATGGTTTATTTCGCAAATTGCCTGCAATATCGGACCTTTCCTGTTAACTTCCTGTTACGGAAGTCTTATTTTGAAGGAATACGGAAAATGATAACGGCTGATTAGACGGTTATTTGATAGTGAATATCGAGACGGTTCAAATGAGGTTCAACCGATTCGCAGACGACAAATGAGCAGTTTAAAGATACTTAGTGCGGTTGAAAGTGGCAACAAGGTTAATAGCTTAGTTTATCTGTACAGTATATAGATTTATGTTTGTGATAATATATTTAATTAATCTTTACATGTGTTTAGATAAGCGTGACTGATGGCGTCATGCGTGTCTAATTTTTCTTGCGGTGAAGAGGTTTGTACGGCACCTAAAGGAATTAAAAGGAAACTTCCTCCCACCAGTAAAGCTTTTCAACCGACGCTACACTCCATTTTCACTTCTTACCCTTCACCCACTTTCAAGTTTTATTCTGCCTTCTGTCATGAATGTCGCTTCAAGCACTCTACTTGCCAACTTTACCACCTTGTTATTGTTCTGGTTAAAGCCTGCCTCGCGTCATTAACAATCACTCACTCATCTCTCTCCACTGCTGTATTGTTCCTACAACATTCAAAAGAGCAGCCATAAACCCCAACACAGAAAAAAATGGTTCAAATCCTAGTAATTTCAACAACCTTCAACCATCTTCATCCTCACGTTTCTTTCAAAAATCGTGCAAAAGACTCTCGCTTCCCAGCTCCACTCCCACCTTACCTGAAATAATCTTTGCAAACAAATTCAGTCTGGTTTCCACCCCCTCCACAGGACAGAAATAGCACTCATCAAGATAACGAACGACCTCCTGGCAGCTGACTGGCCTACTCAACACCATTATCCTCCTCGATCTGACTGCAGCTTTTAATACCATCTCTCACACCCTCATCTTGAACATTCTCCGCAACACTAGCAGCTCTCTCTCACACACACACACGCACGCACGCGCGCACACACACACACACACACACACACACACACACACACACACTTCAGTGGTTGAGTTCTTACTTGTCTGGCCAACCGCATGATTTGTAGTCATGTAAATGCATGATTTGAAGTCAGGATCACAATTGTGATTTAGGATGAGCTAAGTGCATCGTGCACATTTAAAGTTTCATGGTAATTTAAAAAAAATATCTTTTGAATTGATAATTTCCAGTTATCTATGGACTGTTCCGATCAATATATGGATATTTTCCATTTCTGCATAGTTTTTTTTTTTTATTGAAAGATACTGTGAAGAGGCTTTTATTATAACACAATTTAATAGAGTTGTTTGTTTTCCTCAGTCTACTGTAACAAACGGAATGGGCTGGATAAAAGAAAAAAACTTTGAGTTTCCTCTTTCACTGACATTAAAATTGTGCCTTGTTGAAATGTTGCCTCATTATTGCCCAGTATGCTTTGCTCATGGAAAGTAACGGGAATAAACCTCTGCAAAAATCCAGTCATTACCATAATAGAATTTGGACCTTTGTGATAAGATATGAGTCATTTTCATTTTTATAGTCCGACTTAATTAATGCTGGGTTGAGACTACAGTTCTGGATAGTAGACAGAAAATGCACTTTTAAGAAGGAAATTTGAAGAGAGTGGTCTTGAAGGATGGACTGGATGAGAGTGCGGAGGCCCCGGAGGCTGCTGAAAGCATCTTGCCCCAATTGTCATGGCCATGTAGTCGAGTGGGGAATGAAGCGATGTTAAAACACTTGTAATGGATGATGGCTGTGGGCATCAAACTGCTGAGCAGAAGCAGGCTCCTGTCTGTCTCATGTCAGGCGAAAAGAAAGCCTGTGCTGTCGCTTGACTCAATCACATTCCCCCTGAGCAAAAACGCGAATACAGAGGTAACTCAATCTTGGGAACACAACACTGCTCCTTCATCCACTTCAACATTTTGTATTAATCTATGCATCCCTTTTCTATCTCGCTTGTCCTCATGAGGGTCATGGGTAACTGGAACTGTCCAGCTTACTTGAGGCAAATTGGGCACACCCTGAACTGGATGCCAGTCAATCCCACACAACCTTGGGGAGAATATCGTGTTCCGATGGAGATTCCAATTTTTGCACCATGCTGCCATCTTCGCATTTGGAATGAGCAATGTCAAAATTTCACCGGGTAAAAATCACAAGTTCACTTTTCACGTTTGATGTACAAATGGAAATTTTCCCATCTGAATGAAGTATAGTTCTGGATTTTAAATTTGCTTTTCTCTGTCATTGTCATTTTAAAATAGCGAAAAAATATGAGATCCATCTGAGTACAGTGGTCCCTCATTTATCGTGGGAGTTACATTCTAAAAATTACCCACATATGTAAAGTGTGTGTGTGTGTGTGTGTGTGTGTGTGTGTGTGTGTGTTTTGCCCCAAATAATCATTAACTTCATTTTAATTTTATGGATGCGACACATTAAAAAATTGGGACAGGTGGCAAAAAATACTGAGAAAATAGAGGAATCCTCATCAAATACGAACAACCCACAAGTGAACAGGCTAACTGGGAACAGGTGAATGCCATGTTCCCAGTTGTAAAAAAAAAAAAGCCAACCTGAATTGCTGAGTCATTCACAAGCAAAGACGGGGCAAGATTCGCCTCTTTGTGAACAACTGTGTTCCAAATTCCCATTCCAAGTTTTGTTGTTCTCCAATTGTTTTGTTTTTCTCTTTCTTCTCAGGTGACAAACAGGTCACCTTAAAGAACCCCAAATTATGAGTGTAGTCAATTAGTCAAACTTAAATTTAACAAATAAATGACATTCCCCTTTCAGTAAGACTTAAGTTCCACATAGCCAAGCCAATATAAGAAGATAAAATTGCTGTTGCTGTTGTTTTAAATAAATACACAATCAACGTCACGATTTTTTTGTTAAACACTAATGTGAACATAAATATAGCTTGTCGTTTGTTCATTTCGTACCATAACATTCATCACAAATTAATCCAAAACAAATTACATAAATGAATCCCAGAAGACCTAATTTTGTTGTTTTGATTCCATTTTTTTTTTTTTTAAAGCGGACACTGTTTTAAAACTGAAACAAAAAACAACCCCACATAGTTCGAATGACCGCCAGGGCGGTTTTGTGTGCACGAGTGGAACCTTTGTGTGAAGCGGTTGGATGGAAATCTTCCAAGTGTCCACTGCCCATCACTCGACCCATTGAACGTCCCACGGTCCTCCACTAGAGGGCGCCTGTGCCCGCTTTCAAATGACATCCCACGTACGTAGCAGGAAGTGTCAAGACGACAACAACACTACAACTGGCTACAACCTTCCATTGACTAAAAGAGAATCGCACAGCGATTGCCGCGAAACAATAAACTTACACTACTTCACTACAACCGCAGGATCGTGATCAAAACGACTGAAGTGGTAAGCTACGACCGGGCTTCAAAACTATGCTGTGGACCCAAGTTATCATGTTAGCACGGTTAAATTAGATGGTGGTAAACGAGTGATTGGGCTTTTATATATTAATCTTTCTACGTTTCTAGTGACATAACAATCGGCACATAATTGAGATACAGTAGGTGATTCTTTATATTGCTTGGTTACAATATTTGCAGGCTGATCTTATATAGAAGAAGCCTACTCTTCTGAGAGGTAATTGTTGTGATGTAGTGAAAAGTTAAGATTCCGACAAAATTGATATGGAACCGTACGGAGTTGCTGGTAAATTCGGCCTTCATTTAACCTCTCGTCTAAAAGCTATAAAGTATCCATCCATCCATCCTCTAATCAGGTTATCCTCACGAGGGTCGTGGGCGTGCTGGAGCCTATCCCAGCTGTCTTCGGGCACCACCCTGAAGTGGTTGCACACCAGAGGCGATTGCTCTCAGACTGCAAGGGAAGCTCAGCTTCCCCTGAATTGTCAAAAAATAAGTGATCAAATATGTGTGTGTACATACAATTGTGTGTACATGTCATTGACTAAATATGCGCTACAAGGCGCTCAACTTCTGTTCTGAATCACAGCTTCTTACTACTGGTTACGACGCAACTCTCTTCTCATTCATTCCCGCAGCTTCACTGTGCTTTAAACTGTGTGGACGCTGAGCGTCTACAGCGTGGATGCTGGGCGTCTGGAGAGTTGTGTAGGTTGTCCCAATGCATTGAAACGAGATGAGTCACTGGATAAATGCTGGTTTTGTCCCGCCCATCGGACGCTCAGCGTCTCTGGGAGTCTATGGACAGTGGGCGTTTATGGACTGACCCGGACGCTCAGCTTTTCTGCATGATGATTGGATGATCTGAGGCTGAATCTCTTTTAGATTGACAGTGAAATGAGCCAATCACCGATCTTTTGGTGTCGGCATCCGTGGGAGCATTTTTCAATTCTCATTCTGTTCTGAGTTGAACTGGAGACTTCTTCTAATCATCTTAGCGACACTCTAATTGTTAAAAACGACTAGCGACAGATTCATCTTTTATTTCTGGTGTGTTTTATTGTAGTTGCTTGTGTTCGCAGACTTACTTAAATCACCCCAGTTAAGACCCTGGAAAAGACGCCTTGTTGGTATGACAGGGTCACAGATCATTTTCTTGAAAAGGAACGGAGAGTAGAATTCACGTATAAATAAACGGACACATTTTGTGATGTAGCCGGAAATTGAGCTTCCCCTCCTTGACAGACCAGCATCCGCCACTGTTGCACACACAGACGAACAACCATTCGGGCTCACAATCAGAGCGAGGGACAATTTAGAACCGAGAAGCATTTTTCTCATTCCATCATTGTTAAGTGGAACAGTTGAAGTGAACATTTTGTCAAGCAAATTATAGTGCTCGAACTAAAATCACACATCAGCACCACCAACACCACCATGAACAACTGTTTGTTTTTATGTTATTTGTAGTATTGAACTTTTTGTTGTTTTCTGTATTTCAGACTGACAATCTTTCCGAAGATTGTCACCTTTATAACTTAAATGTCGTCTGGCTGTCCACCCCAGTCACCTGCTGTGGCAAAGTCTGAAGTCGCAATAGAGGGAGAATGCCCACTCCTGGCTGCCACCTTTGCTTACTGGGACAATATCCTCGGTCCTCGTGTCCATCATATCTGGGCACCAAAGGGCGATCATGTCATGTTGCTTGGCGATGGAGATGTGACCTTCTTGGCCAATCACACATTAAATGGAGAGATTCTACGCAGTGCAGAGTGTGGCGCAGTGGACGTGAAGTTTTTTGTCCTGGCAGAGAAGGGCGTCATCATCGTGTCACTCATCTTCGATGGTGAGCTCAAGGGGGACAAGAACACCTGCGCCTTGTCCATTATTCTACCGCAGACGGAGCTGGCCTTCTACCTGCCTTTGCACACCATCTGCGTGGAGAGGTTAAAGCATGCTATCCGCAAGGGACGTATTTGGATGCAAAAGGTACCTTTGACACTTCAAATGATCACTTGGTTATTCACTGCAGACAGTTTGAGTCTTTTAACATTGCTCTGTTTGATAATATGTCTTAAGCCCGGTTCACACGGCAGGATAATCAGCCCGATTTCAGATCAGAATCTCCTTTCCCGATTGTTGTAATAGCTCCAAGATAATCTTAATAGATCATCCTGCCGTGTGTCTTGTGCTTCGACTGATATCGAGTGCTCAGGAGGACGTCCAACCTCAAATAGGGGATATTCATCATATTGGATTGTTTTGGAACCGACTTCGCACCGTGTGTGGTGTGCCCCGAAGACAAACGAGTATGCAGCCGGTGGACGGTGATGTGCAAGTAATCAGAACGCGAGGTGATGAGGCGGCGAAAAAGCGTGGTGGGAATCCAAAAACAAAACAGTCATGGCGCAACCATTGTTAATTTTGACAAGAAATTTTAATCTAGTTTTAGTTATAGTCTTGAGACTAAATTTTATTAAAGTTTATGCCAAAATTTAGTTTTCTGTTTGTATTTTAGTTTTAGTCGACGAATACAGAGCAATTTCAGTCAACTAAATTAATAATTAACATCGTCGATTTCTTTTCCTTCAGCATAAATTCAAACTTTTATTTTCAACATTCAAATTTATTGATATGGTTTCAGACATAACGGCGCGCCAAGGGAAACGGTAAAAAATGTGGCCTGTGATGAAAATGGGTTTGACACCCCTGCTTTATTGTATTGACTTTCTCCGGATTGCCACCACCGTCTTTCCACTGGTGGGAATGCACCAAAAGTATTCGCTAATTGCCAAAAGAAAGTGGAAGAGAAGAAGACATGCATTACCGTCATTAGCTACCTTCTTTATAGCAGGCTAAAGAATATGGCAGTAGTGCACCAAAATGACTGGCCAACCTTCAAGGGAAAGAAGAAATGGAAGCAGAAAAAGAATGGTCATGGCAAACATCGTGTGACTGATGCTGCATTCGAAGAAGGACTGACCTTGACTGAACAACCCTAATTGAATCAGCGCTACATCATAAGTACCTACCTTGCACATGTTTCTGTATTTTGTCCTAAAGGCGCGAACGTGATTTACATTTACAAAATCAGAAAGCATCTTGCAACAATCTTTCTTATTAAAAATACCATACCAGCATCTTTATTTGCATATTAATGAAAAACGATTTAGTTGGTCCTGTCAAGGATGAGTTTAGTTGAGGACCCAAGGGCAGGGAAGCAGTGACGCAAGGCAGGTGTGCTCTCCAAAATGTATTTAATTACAAAAAGCATAAAAGGAAGACAAGGCACTTTGGAATTACCCATAAAACAACATTTGAGCAGAAGAAATGAACACTCAGACTAAATTGACTAGGACATGACAACCGACAGCGACTACAACCCAAAGCAAATGATCCAACAAAGACCGAAAGGAGGCAGGGAATCTCATACAAACACATTGACAAGCCAATGAGGAACACCTGGAACGTGAGGGAGGAAACAAGGGAACTGGGTTGACAACCACGGGTGGAAAGAACTAACAAAGAGGACAAGACATGAACCACCAGAACATAAAACACAACATGAAACAAAACCAAATGCAAATCTAAACAACAAATACAATCATGACTGGTCCATTTAACAGTAGAAATAGAAACATTGTAGTCAATCTGCCCGAGACTGATGTGAAAACCAAAGTTAACAATTTGCCTTCTTTTAGGGCTACAATATCATCGCAGTGCTGAGCTTGGAGATTGTTCCGATTATGGAGCTGCTTGCTTCTATGAAAACACACAGTGTACCTGAAGACATCAATGTGAGTAACCATGTCAATATCATGGGCAAAAAAAAAAATGCAGACAAGCACTGATCTGTAAGATTACCTTGAAATCAATTTTGTTGATGCCTACCTCTCCCTCCTCCCACATTCGAAAAATATTTGTCCAACATTTGATTTTATGACGCATTTCTCAAATGAATACCCAAATATGCTCCTTACACCGTAATTGGTACACAATTACTCATCAGGTATTACCCAGTCCCTGAAGTGGTTGCACACCAGAGGCGATTGCTCTCAGACTGCAAGGGAAGCTCAGCTTCCCCTGAATTGTCAAAAAATAAGTGATCAAATATGTGTGTGTACATACAATTGTGTGTACATGTCATTGACTAAATATGCGCTACAAGGCGCTCAACTTCTGTTCTGAATCACAGCTTCTTACTACTGGTTACGACGCAACTCTCTTCTCATTCATTCCCGCAGCTTCACTGTGCTTTAAACTGTGTGGACGCTGAGCGTCTACAGCGTGGATGCTGGGCGTCTGGAGAGTTGTGTAGGTTGTCCCAATGCATTGAAACGAGATGAGTCACTGGATAAATGCTGGTTTTGTCCCGCCCATCGGACGCTCAGCGTCTCTGGGAGTCTATGGACAGTGGGCGTTTATGGACTGACCCGGACGCTCAGCTTTTCTGCATGATGATTGGATGATCTGAGGCTGAATCTCTTTTAGATTGACAGTGAAATGAGCCAATCACCGATCTTTTGGTGTCGGCATCCGTGGGAGCATTTTTCAATTCTCATTCTGTTCTGAGTTGAACTGGAGACTTCTTCTAATCATCTTAGCGACACTCTAATTGTTAAAAACGACTAGCGACAGATTCATCTTTTATTTCTGGTGTGTTTTATTGTAGTTGCTTGTGTTCGCAGACTTACTTAAATCACCCCAGTTAAGACCCTGGAAAAGACGCCTTGTTGGTATGACAGGGTCACAGATCATTTTCTTGAAAAGGAACGGAGAGTAGAATTCACGTATAAATAAACGGACACATTTTGTGATGTAGCCGGAAATTGAGCTTCCCCTCCTTGACAGACCAGCATCCGCCACTGTTGCACACACAGACGAACAACCATTCGGGCTCACAATCAGAGCGAGGGACAATTTAGAACCGAGAAGCATTTTTCTCATTCCATCATTGTTAAGTGGAACAGTTGAAGTGAACATTTTGTCAAGCAAATTATAGTGCTCGAACTAAAATCACACATCAGCACCACCAACACCACCATGAACAACTGTTTGTTTTTATGTTATTTGTAGTATTGAACTTTTTGTTGTTTTCTGTATTTCAGACTGACAATCTTTCCGAAGATTGTCACCTTTATAACTTAAATGTCGTCTGGCTGTCCACCCCAGTCACCTGCTGTGGCAAAGTCTGAAGTCGCAATAGAGGGAGAATGCCCACTCCTGGCTGCCACCTTTGCTTACTGGGACAATATCCTCGGTCCTCGTGTCCATCATATCTGGGCACCAAAGGGCGATCATGTCATGTTGCTTGGCGATGGAGATGTGACCTTCTTGGCCAATCACACATTAAATGGAGAGATTCTACGCAGTGCAGAGTGTGGCGCAGTGGACGTGAAGTTTTTTGTCCTGGCAGAGAAGGGCGTCATCATCGTGTCACTCATCTTCGATGGTGAGCTCAAGGGGGACAAGAACACCTGCGCCTTGTCCATTATTCTACCGCAGACGGAGCTGGCCTTCTACCTGCCTTTGCACACCATCTGCGTGGAGAGGTTAAAGCATGCTATCCGCAAGGGACGTATTTGGATGCAAAAGGTACCTTTGACACTTCAAATGATCACTTGGTTATTCACTGCAGACAGTTTGAGTCTTTTAACATTGCTCTGTTTGATAATATGTCTTAAGCCCGGTTCACACGGCAGGATAATCAGCCCGATTTCAGATCAGAATCTCCTTTCCCGATTGTTGTAATAGCTCCAAGATAATCTTAATAGATCATCCTGCCGTGTGTCTTGTGCTTCGACTGATATCGAGTGCTCAGGAGGACGTCCAACCTCAAATAGGGGATATTCATCATATTGGATTGTTTTGGAACCGACTTCGCACCGTGTGTGGTGTGCCCCGAAGACAAACGAGTATGCAGCCGGTGGACGGTGATGTGCAAGTAATCAGAACGCGAGGTGATGAGGCGGCGAAAAAGCGTGGTGGGAATCCAAAAACAAAACAGTCATGGCGCAACCATTGTTAATTTTGACAAGAAATTTTAATCTAGTTTTAGTTATAGTCTTGAGACTAAATTTTATTAAAGTTTATGCCAAAATTTAGTTTTCTGTTTGTATTTTAGTTTTAGTCGACGAATACAGAGCAATTTCAGTCAACTAAATTAATAATTAACATCGTCGATTTCTTTTCCTTCAGCATAAATTCAAACTTTTATTTTCAACATTCAAATTTATTGATATGGTTTCAGACATAACGGCGCGCCAAGGGAAACGGTAAAAAATGTGGCCTGTGATGAAAATGGGTTTGACACCCCTGCTTTATTGTATTGACTTTCTCCGGATTGCCACCACCGTCTTTCCACTGGTGGGAATGCACCAAAAGTATTCGCTAATTGCCAAAAGAAAGTGGAAGAGAAGAAGACATGCATTACCGTCATTAGCTACCTTCTTTATAGCAGGCTAAAGAATATGGCAGTAGTGCACCAAAATGACTGGCCAACCTTCAAGGGAAAGAAGAAATGGAAGCAGAAAAAGAATGGTCATGGCAAACATCGTGTGACTGATGCTGCATTCGAAGAAGGACTGACCTTGACTGAACAACCCTAATTGAATCAGCGCTACATCATAAGTACCTACCTTGCACATGTTTCTGTATTTTGTCCTAAAGGCGCGAACGTGATTTACATTTACAAAATCAGAAAGCATCTTGCAACAATCTTTCTTATTAAAAATACCATACCAGCATCTTTATTTGCATATTAATGAAAAACGATTTAGTTGGTCCTGTCAAGGATGAGTTTAGTTGAGGACCCAAGGGCAGGGAAGCAGTGACGCAAGGCAGGTGTGCTCTCCAAAATGTATTTAATTACAAAAAGCATAAAAGGAAGACAAGGCACTTTGGAATTACCCATAAAACAACATTTGAGCAGAAGAAATGAACACTCAGACTAAATTGACTAGGACATGACAACCGACAGCGACTACAACCCAAAGCAAATGATCCAACAAAGACCGAAAGGAGGCAGGGAATCTCATACAAACACATTGACAAGCCAATGAGGAACACCTGGAACGTGAGGGAGGAAACAAGGGAACTGGGTTGACAACCACGGGTGGAAAGAACTAACAAAGAGGACAAGACATGAACCACCAGAACATAAAACACAACATGAAACAAAACCAAATGCAAATCTAAACAACAAATACAATCATGACTGGTCCATTTAACAGTAGAAATAGAAACATTGTAGTCAATCTGCCCGAGACTGATGTGAAAACCAAAGTTAACAATTTGCCTTCTTTTAGGGCTACAATATCATCGCAGTGCTGAGCTTGGAGATTGTTCCGATTATGGAGCTGCTTGCTTCTATGAAAACACACAGTGTACCTGAAGACATCAATGTGAGTAACCATGTCAATATCATGGGCAAAAAAAAAAAATGCAGACAAGCACTGATCTGTAAGATTACCTTGAAATCAATTTTGTTGATGCCTACCTCTCCCTCCTCCCACATTCGAAAAATATTTGTCCAACATTTGATTTTATGACGCATTTCTCAAATGAATACCCAAATATGCTCCTTACACCGTAATTGGTACACAATTACTCATCAGGTATTACCCAGTAGGATAGAGAACATTTTTGGGAAAGAAAAAACATTCTAGCGTGCCAAGTATAAAATAAAATAGAACATTTTGGTTTCGTTTTTTTTAGCAAGAGCTTCCCATGGAGTTTAGAGATGTAGTTAATTTTTAAATCCCTGGTGGATGTTCATAATGTAACAATCTGAGACATTAAGTCAAAATAGCAATGTGAAAACACAAGCAAACCCCGCCTGTGACATTTCTGATGATTTGATTCAAAATGTCTGTACTAATCTAAATTGGAGAGTCTGAGGTGCTGATCCTGTACATTTGTTTTACCCTAATTCGCACGCTTGACCACTTCAACCTTTTTTATAACAGTTTGATTTGTTTTCCTCCATCCGACTAGATAAAAGACACCATGTTAAATGATGATGACATCGGAGACAGCTGCCACGAGGATTTCCTCCACAAGTAAGCGCTCGAGTCCCGGAAATGATGCCAGATTAATACCCATCAGTCCTCCAATGAAGAGAGCTGCTGAACATAGCTAATTTCCTCCCGCCAAAGACCAAGGCTTAATTGCTGTTACCCGGTACTTCATTATTCAAACGATAGTAGTGCCATTGGGCGGCCCGGTGGGCCACTGGTGTCGACCTCACAGTGCAGAGGTAGCGGGTTCAATTCCAGCTCCGGCCTCCCTGTGTGGAGTTTGCATGTTCTCCCCGGCCTTGCGTGGGTTTTCTCCGGATACTCCGGTTTCCTCCCACATTCTAAAAACATGTATGGCAGGCTGATCGAACACTCTAAATTGTCCCGAGGTTTGAGTGTGAGGGTGGATGGTTGTTCGTCTCTGTGTGCCCTGCGATTGGCTGGCAACCGGTTCAGGGTGTCACCCGCCTACTACCCTAAGACGGCTGTGATGGGCTCCAGCACCCCCGCGACCCTTGTGAAGATAAGCAGATTGGAAACTGGATGGATGGACTGATAGCGCCATTATTCCCAACACTGACCATGAAACACTTGTGAGTGTGAAATGACATTTCAAGTGATGGAATTGGAAGTGTTCGTGGAAGATAAACAATTATACAGTATTACTGAAAAAAACCCTAAATATATCTCTTTGAAATTTTTGGTGTAGCCAGCCACTGCATTTACGCTTGTTACAAACACATTTGCCTTATTTATTAAGGTTTTCAGAGCACAGCTCATTGTTGTCAATGACACATTTGAATAAGATAACATCAAGCAAATGGCTTGTTATGGTCCTGACTGTTTGTAATTTGCACTTCTTGTTTCTGTGGTTCAGGGCCATCAGCTCTCATCTCCAGACTTGTGGTTGTTCAATCGTGGTTGGAAGCAACCCAGAGAAAGTAAACAAGGTAAATTCAGCAGAAGAGTACGTAGACACACAGAGACTCATGCATACATTTTTTATTTCCAGTTAATCTAAAAAGTCTGCACACCCCTGTTAAAATGCCATGTTTTTATGGTTAAAAAAATAAGACCAAGATTACTAGTGTCAATACTATTTCCAACTTTAATGTGAGCTACAACCTATAGATCTCCATTAAACCAAATGTAAATTTTTTCAAGGAGAAAATGAAATAGTACAATAACCTGGTTTCATAAGTCTGCACACCCCTCAAACTACTGTATTTTCTGTTTTTGGACTATATTTTGGATTATAAGGCAGGGGTCCCCAACCTTTTTTGCCCCACGGACCGGTTTAAGTCAGACAATATTTTCAGGGACCGGCATTTAAGGTGTGGCGGATTAATACAACAAAATAATATGGTATGAGCTGCATGAAAACTGTGGTGTTTTCGAAATATAATAATAAACACAAGGAGCGTCTAATCTGGTCGCAACACTCTTATCACTCTGGTAATGTTTAATGCCTTCAAAATACGATACAACGCAAATTCAAAGTGCATGAAAATGACGACTCACCACAGCCCCGAGCTTGATGAAATAAGGCAAGTTCTTTCTGTGCGGCCCGGTACCAAATGCCCTGCGGACCGGTACCGGTCCGCGGACCGGCGGTTGGGGACCCCTGTTATAAGGCACACCTTAAAATGAATGGCCTATTATAAAAATTGTTTTCATATATCGGGCGCACTGCTTTATAAGGCACATAGAATAGAAGCAACAATAGTGGCTGCGGTTGCGCTATGCATCCACTAGATCAGGGGTGTCAAACTCATTTCACATTGTGGGCCACATACGGCCTCGGTAGATGTCAAGTGGGCCGGACCATTAAAAATTACACCATACTCTGCTATAAATAACCAAAATAATATGTCTTTCCTTTGTTTTGGTCTAAAGAAGCACAAGACCACTAGGAAAATGTTGAAATTTAATGAACATATCTTTTACAAAACATTTCATGAAGCTCCTTGGATTTCCTTAGACAAATGTGTAATTTACTTTTATCATTCACATATATGCATTGCAACTGATCCCACTGACTGTACAAAGGCACAAAACTTTAACAAATAATTGGTACTGTATTGAAAAATATAGTGATGCACTTTTAAGATTAAACAAGATTTATAAAGAAAGGAATTTTTAAACCATTTACACGAGCATATAAAATCTAAATGTAATCCCTGCCTACACCTTAAAAACTAAGGAGAGTGCTATAATATATGTAAAGAATAAAGTAATCACATGTCATTGATAGCGTCTGCTGTGTTGGGTCAGTCTCAGTGACAGACTGAGGCTGCTGTTGTCTTCTTCTCTGATCAAAACAATGTTGTCTTTTCCTCTGATCAAAACAGTGTGTCCCCCTAGCAGGTATTCCATGAATTGCACCTTATTAAAATATTCATTCCGTGTCTTTTATGCATTTTTTTCCACTTTTAAATTATCCTGCGGGCCTGATCAAACCTCCTTGCGGGCCGGTTCCGGACCGCGGGCCATATGTTTGACACCAATGCACTAGATGGAGCCAGTGATAATTTTACAGTTTACCTCCAGCGAGTCCCAGGGACTCGCTGATCAGAAAAGTATGAGTCCCATTATGCATTTAGAGAGTCCCAAATTTCGAATTCTGAAATGGTCTACTTATTCAATTGCATATGATAATAACACAAACAACAACATATACATACAATTATAAACAAATGCTGCAAAAATGTAAATAATTCAGTAGCAGGCCTGAGGATTTCGGAAATTCACGGAAGCCGTTTTTCGTTTTTCGGTTCCGTCGGATTACCCAATGGGAAACCATGGTAACTAATTTTTGGGTTCCGTAAACATTCATCATGGGAACCCATTTTTTTATTTTGACTGATATTCATATTCAAGAATTCTGAAACTCAAAAGTATAATGTTTCTTTCAAGGGTAAATGTTTGAAAACTATCCATGACCAATGAACATTACATCAGCAGCTGTGTACTCCAGGTTCATTAAAAAAAATAAATGGATCAAAATATGGTGTACACATATGGCATCATGAATACGGCATACCACAAAATCTGAGTATTTTTTCCAATCTCACACTGCAAAGATTAATTTACTTGTAATCATTAATACAGGTAAGTATTCATGTGGTTTGACATCCTCTTCCCAAGACGATGCATGTGTCATCTACTTTCAATTTGACAAAGAATCTACCACATGTCATCATTAGTTATACCAACAGTTAACATTAGCATTACTACACGTTGTAACGAATGTTTTATTCCTAAAGTTACCATGCTACAACCAGTAAATTATACAATAACCAAGACTGTTTCATCATATTGTTCATAGCGATTAGCCTATAGATCTAATGACCAACTTGCCTCGTAATCCTCTCGTCGTGTCTCGCTCTCGTGTTCTGTGCATATGTCACAGGTGAGTTTAGTGATACGCCCTATGGATGATTCATACGAAAAATCAGACTGGCATTCCCATTTCTTAAATGTCGTAATTAGACCTTTGTGAGTTTTTTTCGCCGCCATCTCAAAGTTTCATCCGCGGGATTCCTCAGTTTGCGGACGAAAATAGCAACCCGCATGTGCACATAATGTTATCTGTTCCGTCGCCCGCAACACTGAAAAACAAAACAAAACGAAAGTAAATTCAAAGAAACACACTCACACACCACACCACAAACACCCATACAGACACAGTGAAATCGCGTTGATTACACAGGAGAGACTTGATCGCGTACAGTCAACTCGTGTGTGGTGATTTTTACGGTTAAACGATTTTTCGGTACCGTCAAAATGACGCCACGGAAACGACACGCTACCGGTAACGATCGTTACCATGAAATCCTCAGGCCTGCCGTAGTTTTTTTTTTTTTTTTGTTATTGTTTTTGTTTTGA